CTATAAATTTTCATAATATTTAAATAGTTATTAAAAAAATTATATTAAAAAAACCAATTCCAAAAATTTATGACTCATACTGTATATATAGTATTATAAATATAACTTTATTTAAAATAAAAAAAATTATATAGTTTATAAAATTAAATTTTTAAAAACACTTGCCATATATTAAGATATTATTATTTATCTCAAAATAAAGTAATACCTATTATAATGAAATCTTGGTATTTAAAAATAATTTTCTTTATATATAACTTCCAAAACAATTATTTTGATAATTTGTATCTATATAGAATATAAAATTTTGATAGTCTCTTTTACAGCAATTTTATATTTAAGATTAATATATTAATATAAAAAATTTTTACAATAAAATTGTAAAACAACATATTGACATTACAAAAAATAATGTTTATAAGTTTATTTACATTTGTAATACATATAATCAAATATTATCAATTAAAAAAAAATCTTATTTTAATTGTAAGTTACAAACTTATAGAATATCTTCAAATAGATCTTGTGGATTTTACAATATACAATAATAATAATAATAACTTTCTTTGATTTTTTATAATTGTATATATCTTTTTTAAATTTTATTAGACTATTTCAATCAAAATTAAAGAAGTTGAAGTTATAGAAAAAACTTTAATTTCTTTATTTTTTCAATAGGATGAATCATCAATTCTATAATTTAATAATAATAAAAAATTTATTACAAATATTATTATTTATATTTGTCTTTTTTTTTTTACTATTAAGTGAGACATTTCTCATGATCTTTATTAATAGAGTAAAGTTGTTACATAATTGATATTGAGATGTTAAGATACATTGCTATACATGTTAGTTACCACCATATTAGATATATTTCTGATAAAAAACCTTTGAGCAAGGAAAAAAAAAGCAATTATCTAATTTTGGAGGGCTAATGCCTCCTTAATAATTTACTTTGTTCTGGAAAGACATGGACGAGTTTTGAAAAAAAAGTTTAAGTGTTATATTGGTTAGTTCGATTTGTTGGGTTGATTTGTGATTAGGTATGAAATTGGTAGTTGGTTTTTGTCGATGTTGTGTAGGTTTTTTGTTGTTATTTTTGTTATTTTTCCTGTATTTGGTGTTTTGTGAGATGTTAAGAAATTTTTCCTCTTCAATTATGTCTTTGTTTCTTGGAATCCAGATATGTTAATATATAAGTTCAAGAGTTTCGTTTTGGATTTGGTTTAGAATTTTGAGATCTTGCTGGTTTGGTTTAAGATTGTTAAATATGTGTTTAGGTTGGAATGTACCTGTTGCAAAGTGAATTAGATGGATTGCAGAGTTAATAGTAGTTGAAATTTGATTGGAGTTAAAGTTTTTGTTATTTTTGAATTTTTTGTTAAGAAGTGTTTGTGAGTCGGTAAGGATTTTTTAATTGTTGATAGTGCCTGTTTGCAAAGTCAGAGATGATTAGTAGTTTCTGTATACAAGTTGCAGCAAGGACATGTGTCATTTGTATAGATATTAGGTAGAGTAATATGAAGGTATGATTTAGTTGGAAGTATATATGTTGCTGAAATTCATAGATCCTTGGTGCAATTGATACAATTATTTGACACAATTAATTGAGTCACTATTAAAACATATAAATAATTGAGTCATGATGCAATTATTTTTGAGGATTTTGGGAATTGAGTCAATAGCAAAATAATTTACATCACATGTATAGGCTATACCAACTTTACTGTCAAAAATTTTATTGTTTATTTGATTTAGTTTCAGCTCTAGTTATTCTATCATTGTATATATTTTCATTTTCTTATATTCAAAAAAACAAAAGATATAAAAAGACTTCATCAAATTTTCTGAGTAGGTAGGCATAACCGTTATTCAGGCACAGCTAGTATATAGTATTGTTTTGAATTTCTTTTTCAATATTAGCTAGATGTGTATGCGTAGGCAAGCTAGCATTTAACTTGCTACTTTATGTATATAAGAGATGTTGTTTCTTTTACAATGTATACCTTGTTATATACAATATCAAATAAAGAAATGATGTTTACCTACGGGGAAAACCCCCCAAAAAAGCAATTAATTATAAAATTAATAAATATAAAATTTTTATTTTATAATTTTAATAAAAACATGTGAATTTGACAAAGTTCTTAGGAAAATATAAAATTATTTCTCAATTTTACATCAACTTTGAAAATTTTCATGTAATACTTCTTAATTAAAATGACACTTTAAAAATTCATGAAAAGTAATAATTTGATAATTAAACTTTTTTATTAATTATCTATTAAGAAACAACCATATGCTAAGGTAGTGTATTTTACATTCAAATTAGTTTATTACCTAATTAGTGATTATATAATTTAATGCAAAATATACGTTTAAACATTACCTCGATATTTAAACTTTTTACACTACTAGATAAACCAGTAAAGTTGTGATGAGAAAGCTTTGGTCAATTATCTATACGGAGATGTTGGGTTGATTATAGGTTTATGCAAGAATATTACCTTATTAATTTAAGCATAAGAAATAATAGAATAAAGGAAAATACCACTTAGATATAGGCGGAAATATAATATGAGAATTGGCAGGAAAAAAATACTGATTGAAGAAGTACCATGCAAGGATACTACCCAGACAAATTAACTAGGAGAATCGGGAGAAAAACATTGACCAAGACTTTATGCAAGAATATTACTTTAGCTAATTTAAACTTGTCCTATAATATGATAGAAGAATAGGAAAGAAAAATAATGGCAGAGGTACAATGCAACACACCTTGACTGATTTTGAAAAATTAATATTTTAAAAAATTTTATATGGATTAAATAAATTATTAAATAAAAAAAAAGAAAAATTCAAAAATTCTATATCACACTATACATATTATATACATATATAACATTTATAAATTTAAATTAAAGATTATGAATTTCTCTTTTTCAGACATAAATTGTTTTTTCATTATGCTTATTAAAACTACCTTTTCAATACAAAAATTATCAATTGGTATTGAACGAATAAAAATTCTTATATATTACAATAGAAATATAAACTTTCTTTTCTTATACACAATGGAAATAAACATTTAAGACAGATAGAGATATGCATAACGAGCAGCCGAAAGTAAACTTAATGAAAAAATCTTATTAATTTTTTTATTCCATAAAAACTTGTTAATTCTAATTCGCATACTCACCTGAGAATAGCGACAACACCACTAGGCATGACTTTTCCGCTTTTGTAAAAACGGGAACTCATCACAACAAGCAACAAAACCGAAACAACTGCGTAGAACGAAGACATGTAAGTGATCAGGAATAATATAATAATCTTAGAACAATATATAAGGTGATCTCCTACTCAAAGCTAGACCAACGTTTTTTGAATTGTTGCTGACTCGATGTGCACCATATGCCTATGAATTCATTGGAATTTTAACAAAAACTTATCTCATGTAAAAAAACTTTAGTAAAGAATTCTCACAGCTAAAGAACCAAACGTCAACCCGGCCACCAAAGAACTTGTACTTCCTGAAATTGATTATTCTGAACATGAATTCAAGACAGTGAATAGTCCGAAAAGAATAAAATTATGGTTATTGTTCCTTTACCGGCTTTCAAAAATCCAAAGACTCCTCCTAAACCAATAGTCTGAAAACACGTATTAATAATAGTTCGAAATAAAAAAAAGAATCAGTTATAAAAAAAACACGTTACAAAAGCATAAGCGTATCCAATATAATCTTTCATGATGAAGTTTATAGAGAGAAGGCAAATCGACCAGTTAATTCTACTGTATACAGTATATATTAATTGTTACACGATTGCCATTATCTATACAAGGCAATATTTTATTAATAACAGACAGTATTTTTTTTTTATAACCATTACATAATAATAAGAAGTTACTAATACATCTTTATTTTGAAATAAAACTATTATTAATTTTACTTTGTCAATATGAAACAGACAAAATTATGTAAATTTAATTTTTCATACCAATATATAACATTTGTGTAAAAATCAATTACAATTTAAATATTATGAATATTTTAATATAAATATCTTAATATAAATATCTTAATAAATGTTTTGATTTTAATTTAATATGTAAAATCGAACCAAAAAACAAATCTACTTATATTGCTTAATATTTTATCAATTATTTTTTTTAAATTTTTTTTATAAGTAAATATGATTTTAAAATAATGGTGAAGCAATCTATAGTTATCATTTAAAAATTTAAAATGAAAAATAACCTAATCTGAAAATCAAATTATTTTTTTTCAATTTATTAATAAAGATTTTTTTTAAATATAGTTAATGTATAAACTGGTGATTTTTTTTAATATACAATATACGGTACATTATTTATGTTTAAAAAAAATTTTTTTTTTGAATTTCTTTGAATTTATGTGTGCTACTATCAAAATAAATTTATTATTAGATTTAATATAAAAAAAATTTTATATTAGATGACTTGTGTTCATTTGTCATATAAACTAAAAAAAAATTCGGTGATGACACAATATAGTTTATTTCTGAGGATTTAAGGTTATTAATTGTTTGATTTATCCGAAACAGCAAATGTAACGCGTGATTTTAATTTCAAATCAAGAGAACACAAATCACTCAACTGGACTTTTATATGAAATTTACATAGAGCTTGCTATGAGATTTATTGCGTTCATGCACAGTCAAATTGAATATAATAAAATTAAGGATGTTACAGAATAATATACAATCGAAGAATTTCATTAAAAATCATATCATTTACACAATGGTATTTCTTCTTGATCCAAGCATCATTATCTTTTCCTCCTCTTCACTTCTTAACCCTTTGATCAATTCCCTACTAGACAATTCATCACTGCACCAAACTTTAGCAGATTTATCAAATCCACAAGTGACCAATAAATCTCTATCTTCATCATACCACATCCCTCTCACCACATCATTGTGCCCTTTGACCTGATCAACCAATTTCTTTGTGCGTAGGGAGTATACACGAATAATCGAATCTACCCCGTAGGAGTAGAAGAAATTACCGGACGGGTGCCAAAGAAGACGTGGGTTCGTCAGTTTTCGGGACAGAGTGGAAGAGTATGAATCGTCGCTGAAAGTAATGAATTCATCGTAAAAGTTTGCTATCTGGATTAACGTCGTTGACGAATGATTTACACCATTTCCATTTGTTGTAGCGTTGGTGGCATCACCGAACGTCTTATATAAGATTATTCTACCGTTTTCGTCATCTGTAGAGACCAATAAATATTTTCCGTCATTGTTTGGACTAGGAACGATATCCATCGCGGTGAATGACACCCAATCATCTCCATTAAGATTCATATTGTATTTCGTAATTTCAAATAGATCTTGTTGAAGGTTTATGTAATGAAGGTAACATGATTCTCTTATGCCAACTATTAAGAAAGATGAGTTTGGAAGAAAACAAAGTGATTCGATCTTTGAATCAAAGGTTATGGTGTGAACTTTGGAGTAAAGAGGAAGCGGTGTAGAAGGGGTAGCCGGGGATAAGAGATTTGATGAATTATGGGGAGTTGTTGGTGAGAAGATATTGGCGCCTGATCCGTTAGAAGAGCCGTCCATTTTATAAAAGTTCAGAGAGTGATCATAGCCTGCAGTTACGATCATGCTTCCGTCAGGAGAAAACTTTGCTCTGACAACGGGTTTCTGATGGTCTTTAAATGCTTGTTTAACATCCATCGTGGAAACATCGGTTAACGCACAGCTCCCATCCATAGAAGCTGACAACATGATATTTGAACGAACGGGATGAAAATCGATTGCAAGAACGCCACCTTTGTGATAGTCAAAAGTGTTGAAGGTATCACCGGTGAGTAGAGAAGTGAATTTTATTGTCTTGTCTGCGGATCCAGTGATTATTGTTGGACTGAAAGTGGTTTCGTAATCATTGTCAACGTAGGAAGATGAGGCAACGTTTTGAAGATTGATGGTAAGAATGTTTGAGTTGTGAATCTGAGAAAAGGTTTCACAGATATATCGCGGGTATGAGGTGTCCTTGGAGGAGTACAAATCCTCGTCAATTTTTCTATAAATAAAGTGTGCCTTAGATTTAATTACAAACACTAAGCAACGAAATAAAATCTCGTGGTCACCCGCTCACCTTTCATTCGAAACCAATCTCTCGGCTTCTTTCTTCACATAATCTTGTATAATGGAAAGCAGCGGTCGGTCAAGTTGTATCTTGTTCTTATCCTCCAGGCCCTCTTTGGCTTCCTTACGAAATTCATTCAACGTGTTGTAGTATTTGTTGGATTCAAGAAATTCTGAAATCAACGCATGAGTAAGTGGTATGACGATAGAAGGAGACATAATGAATTATTATTTTTTTTTTCACAGAAAAAAAATTTGAAGTTTTAAAGTTTTAATTTTTTGAATTTTTATCTTGGAAATTCTTTTTGATCATACGCGTTAATTCCATCAATTTTATACATTTCTGATCGGTTGATCTTGCATGAGGTGACACACCTTATTGATTGTCCAGTGATCGACTTTGTTATACATATTTACTCCTGCCTAAATAATATAAAGAATTGTCTTACTTTTCATCGAATTTGATTACTATTGTTTTCACCTTGACCACAGTTATAAAATCCACAATTCATATTGTCTAGGTTGAACACAGGAGCGAATTTAAAGGTTCGACAATGTTACCATCTCTTATTAGACTTTTCAAGGTTATCCCGAGCGGACAGCGTTTCCAATACCACGCGCGACTTCGAAATTTAAAATTTGGTCCATATAACATGGATAAGAAAATAGTTTTTAGAATCTTTAACCTTAATTCTTTACCAAGAAATCTTTATGGACATACAAGTATGGGACACTCGTCGATAAACCAAAGATTTTTTTTATTCAATTGTCCACGTCGCAATTTTAGATTTGGTTTTTCCGAAATGAAACACGGAATTTTTTCATCAGATCATGGTTATGCATTCCCCCGCCTGCTTAACTCATATTTCACTAATTTTAAGAAATTAATTCCTAAAAATAGGATTTCTAAATATTCCTTAAAACTATTTCGAAACACTGAAACAGATTCACGGATAGTCTCTCAAATAATGGTTGCTAATGTTCTTGTTTTCCTTTCTTGGAAGCTCGCAGAATTAAACTATGAAGAACATAGAAATATCACGTACCTAAATTTTATGTATAAACATTTTACCGTCAGTATCAATAACATTAGAGAAAGTCGATGGTGGACAGTGTTGACTTGTGCATTTAGCCATAAAGACTTTGGTCACTTGGCGGTGAACATGTTTGCTCTTTGGGGATTTGGTAGAGCGGTAAGTTTTACGAATTGACTCCTCTTCCTCGAAATTACTCACCGAATAATGAAAACAATAATTATCACAATTATAATAATATAAAAGGTGTTACAAATGTTGGGGACCACAGAATTCCTGCTGGTTTATTTGGGTTCAGCTTTAACTGCCTCTTTAGGTCATCTCTCGTACACATATTTTTCTCGTTCAAGAAAAGAAAACGTTAAGCATTATGTCAGTGCAATGGGTGCATCAGGTAACATTTTGTGATCGATGTTCCCCAGCTTTACGTTTGATCTACCATAAATTAACATCTCATTCAATGCAACAGGAAGCATAATGGGCTTGTCTTCACTTTACGCGCTTACGTTCCCGTCATCGACGTTCCTAATCTTTTTTGTAATTCCAGCTCCGGCTATCGTTGTTGTGGGCTTATATGCATTTTACGACATTTATCGAACCTGGACAAAATCCCATGGAAACGTGGGTAGTGCAGGTCATCTTGCTGGCACATTATTTGGTTTGATTTACTATTGGAGAAAGATTCGACGTGGTCGTTTTGGTACTACCATGAGGAATGTCAAAAATTGGAGAGGAAGAATACATTGAATTAAAGGGTTTATGTAAACCGAAACTTGTCATATATGTACTACGGCGGTCGTGATACCACAAATAATCATTGTCTACGTAAGAATGTCCCGTGTTCTATGCAACATAACAATATGACTTACTTTTGTATGCGTATTTTACATACGTATTTATGACTTTGTACTACAAAGATACGACCGAACGTTGGAAATTTAACACAGTATAAATTTGTCGGGACAAAGCCACACAAACCCTTGCGTGAAACTTTTTGAACGCTCGCGAAGTTCTAAAAAAAAAAAAATACTATATATATATATATATACCTCTATATCTAATCTTGTACAGTTTTACAAATAATACACAAGCAAGATGAGCAAAGACGACGAATATGATTATCTCTTTAAAGGTAACTTCATCTCAAAAACCTCTAATTCATCTCGGCTTAAAGTATTTGGTTGTAACTCGACTTGTGTGCTGTTGTCAAGAATGGCTGTATTTTTGGTCATCTTCATAAGCCATACAACTTGGGGTCACAATCGGAAGAGAGATGGTTGTAATCTTGCACTAATTCATTTTTCATTTTTTTTTTTTTTTTTTTCGAAAAAAAATAATAATAATCATTTTAGTTGTTTTAATTGGAGACTCGGGAGTTGGTAAATCCAATCTTCTTTCACGTTTCACGCGTAATGAATTTAATTTGGAATCCAAGTCCACCATCGGTGTGGAATTCGCCACAAGAAGTATTCAAGTGGATAACAAAACCATCAAAGCGCAAATTTGGGATACTGGTAATTCGAATTAACTTTTTTCCTCATTTATTTTCTCGGTGATTTTTGTTCTTTATCTTTCCTTTTTAATGTTTATAGCCGGGCAAGAACGATACAGAGCTATTACAAGCGCGTAAGTCCGATGTTCTTCTACTCTCTGAATTTCGGTAGGATAATAATTGATCGATATGTCGTTTTATCCATATTCAACAAGTTATTACCGTGGTGCCGTTGGCGCTCTACTTGTTTATGATATTGCTAAGCATCTGACATATGAAAATGTCAACCGCTGGTTGAAGGAATTGAGGGATCATGCTGACAGTAATATTGTGATTATGCTTGTCGGAAATAAGAGTGATTTAAGACACTTGCGAGCAGTTCCTACCGAAGAGGCTAAACAATTTGCCGGTATCATTTTTTTTCCACGAAAATTATGTAATTTTAATGTTTCACAATCAAGAACATTAAGTCTCACATCTCTCCACTTTTTAAAGCTGAAAACAGTTTGTCCTTTATCGAAACTTCCGCGTTGGATGCTAGCAACGTAGAACTTGCATTCCAAAACATTTTAACAGGTGATTTCTTGTTGTCACTATTATAATTCTCTATTATCTATTATTGTTCTCACTTACCATTTATATTGAAAATTTGTTGCTCAGAAATATACCGTATTGTGTCTAATAAGGCCTTGGAAAACAAGGGTGGCGATGTTGCCAGACCATCCCCTGGAGAGACCATTCAAGTAACTCTATCATCAGATGATACCAATAAAGCATCTGGAAAATGTTGTTAATTTTTTTTTCTATTTTTCATGTGATTTCTATGTAACATTATAATGTTCGTGTATCATTTTGGGGGTTTTACAAACGCTCTTTTTTATTTATCCACCCTTCTTGTGGGTATTTATGCGGGTAAACAATAAACACTATGAGTAAACAGAAATTTTATGTTATATAATTTAATATTGATAAAAACGTTTATTCTACACCCATGCATTTATTTGCACCTGAAATAGGATTACAAGTGAAAATGTATTTTGAATACAAATCTCTCAAAATATTTATATGAAACGTACACACATTTACCATGTGACAAATTCTTATACTTGAAAGTATACAGTATTTTAAATGTTTATTCCAATTTAATCAAATGAATCATAAAATAAGTAAAAGTACACTAGTTTTTAGGAAATCGACTTTCTTTTAAATAAATCTTCTTTGTATGATAATTCATAAATATTGCTTTATATTACGAATTATTCAAATTTAATTACTTTTAAATTATTTGTTTTATTTATTTTTTTTTATTGTAAATACAGTATTTCACTTAATATTTTAATTAGTTTGTTTTTTTTATTTGCATTATAAAACTTTCAAAAATTTTTTATTTAATAATTACATTAAATTTTTATTTCACATTATATTATCTTCTCTTTCTTTTTTTTTTTTTTTTTAACAGCATTAAATATAAAATCTTTACAAATATGTAAAACATTCAAAATTATAATAACTATTATAATTTAATGCTAGCTTATTAAATTATGTAAGTTGATATGATGAATTTTAAAAACCTTTTTTAAAAAATATACATATTAATATATAGTCTGAAACAAAAAAAAATATATTGATATATATAGTCTGAAACAAAAAAAACTATTTAAAATTAAATTTTTATTTTATTAATAATTTAATAATTAATTAATTAAGATAAAATCTATATACTATATATAATTATTTAAATATATAAAAATAGAAATATATATCTAATATATATTAAAAATAAATGTGTGTAACCTATGTGTGTAACGCTGACATTTAGTTTATCCTATATAAATAAAAATTTACTCATTAGAAAATTATAACAGATCATGTTAAAAAAAAGTGTGTAACC